AACATCTTTTCCCTCCTACAGTTAATGGATCTTTATTCATCAAAAATAGCACCTTAACAGTAAAAGAGAACAAAACAGTTGAAATTGTTTGTGAAGCCTTGGGATGGGCTCCAGCTCCAGAAATTACCTGGATGACAAATGACTCTTTCATTGATAAGTCGAGGTATGTTACCTATCAAAGTCAAAGATCTGATGGCCTGCATGATGCCCTGAGCATCCTAACTTTGACTCTGACGGACACTGAGATTTTGACTTGTTTAGCTGACATAGAAGCGCTCCCTAACCCTCAGAATGCAACTCTAACTTGTATTTTTCTCAACTCTACTATAGGTAAGTGAATATTTTTTGTACTTTGCCTATACTGTAGTGCCTGTACTGTACTACCTATACTCACAACTGTGCTTTTTGTTTTGTTTTGCTTTGTTTTATTTTGAAAAGTCTTTTATTTTCAAATGAAATGCTATGAGACGTACAAAGGTGATTGATAGAATTAAGGCCCAGTAGTCACAACGTGATTTGTAGGTAGGGTTAAATTCACCTCTGCGAAAAGACTGGTACAAGTCTAACGAATTACAAAGTCCAGCTGAGGACTGAGCAAGACAAATGAGCCAGTACATCTGCCACTGACTCCTACTATGGATTCACTACTAAGAAAACTGGCCTTTGGTCCTTGGCCAAGTAAACATCTAGTGAATTTAGATCTTAAATATTCTTGATTAGGCCACGCCTGCCATGTTAACATAATTTGTCAGACCTCATTTACTCAAAGCCAAACCCTCAGGTGAAATTGTTCTCCTTAATATTCAATGCCAGTTTTTTTCACTGAAGTGGAAAAAAACCTAAGATTTTATGCCCAGTTTCTGCACACAACCCAGAATAGATTCTGTACTAGCACTTCACGTGCAAATAGAAAGTTCTCCATATGAGCAGTGATGAGATGCGATGGAGCTGTTGTAGAAGGGTGGGCTGCAGTGAGGCTGGCACCTAATGGCAGATGGTAGCATTTATACATAGGAACTTCTATACTGTATACCTATTACCAATCTGCTATAAGAAAATCTTTGTACATAGTGTATTCACCCATTACAGAACAAGAATCAGGTCATCAAGAGAAGCTGAATATTCATGGGACTTATCCCACAGCCTACTTCGATAAAAGAGCCAGTGGGCCTGCTTTCCTCTTCCTGGCATGGTCTCTTTCATAGCTTAGAGGAAGGTAAAAAGTGTTCCACAGCAACATATGTGGAATTCTTTGGACAGTGCTTTGGTTGTTTGTTATTGCCTTTTATTTAAGGAAATTCAAGGTTGCTTTAATCCAAGCATGGATATTGGGCAAATCTCTAAAGAACAGTTATCAACACCTTTCATAACCCTAAATATTTTCTCTAAAGTTGTCAGCATTTTCTGTAATGCTGCTGATCTTTGGCTTCACTGACATCCTATGAAAATAAAATTCTGTAATTTGGCACATTCACAGTACTAGGAAGTTCATCAGGAAAAGGGTGATTTTATGTGGTTTGTGCTGCCAGCATGGAACAAAGCAAGTGGGACTACCACTACAGATCTGCCTCACAATCCAACAGAATCCTATGAAAACTGTTTTTCTTTTCCAAACTGTAACAGAATAAGAGCAAGTAAAAGGAAGTATCTCCCTGTGGGTTAGCAGTGTTTACTGCAGAGGGAGACAATACCAAACTGTCCCTCTGTTGGGACTAGCCAAGTGGCTCAACTGTCAGGTAGAGCAGTCTCAATACAAACTAAACTTGAAGGACTAATTGCATGGCAGGGAGCTGAGGTTACTGGGTATAGGTACACTGCCTTCTATAGGGACATAGTTCACCCTACAGTGACATCTGTTTTATTAGCCTTGTCCTAAGGCATAGATTACATGGAGTTTTACGCAGTGGGTCTATGCATCCCCAGCTCTCTTCTGTACAGAGCAGGGCCTTGAATCTGCATTTCCTTTTATGATGTGGTGATCATTATGAACTTCTGTAATTGTGCTGACAGCTTCTCTTGATGAACTGATTCTTCTTCTGTAATGGGTGAGCACAGCACCTACAAAGACATTCTTACAGTGGATTGATGAGGGGTTTGGTATAGAAGTTTCGACATATAAACAACTGAGGAGGTTGAGTAACTGTGCCTTTTATTTTAAGTATGAGTCATTATTAGCAAGCCTTTTTCAGAAATACTTGCTTTGTCATGCAGTTGAAAAAAGTCATTTCACCATTCTTAAAAGGACTTTTTTGTAGTCACATTGATCCTAATTACTGACTAAGCAAAATAGAACTATCCTGAGGAAATTAATAAATTACCCTGCCTACTCATTTGTGAAGTACTGAGGTATCCACCCTCAGTTTCCATAGCTACTCATTGTAAATCAGAAGAGGAGAAAAACAGATGTCATGAAGCACAATTAGTGTATAATTAGTGATTGTATAGGACCATCATTCATTTCTCTGGAAAAATCATTGTGCAGCAGCAAACACTCAAAATTTGTCAGGATATGAGAATATGAAGTCTTTAAATTATTAGAATGAAATAAAGACAAGGCATTTATGACAGAAGAAGATATATAACGCATATATCACACTGGAAATCTCAGAGCTTGTCTGACTTTTCACATACAGACTCAGCCTTAGCTAGCTGTTGTCAGGAGAGAATATGACTAGCTTCAAACATCTAAGGAGTCCTTCCCAAAACTACTGTAATATCAATTTCAGCCTTCACTTAAAAGCTTGAGGAATTGAATTCCTCCGTGTTCCTCACAAGCAATACCTGTCCATTCACAAGAACTGCAACCAAAAATCTGAGCCCTCTTCAGCCAAGCACCTATCCTACTTTCCTGCATCTCTAGATCAGTCTTAATCTCAGACCTTTCCATACGACTCCCTTCAACTCCATAGATCCTCTTTTGGCATGTAACCTGAACCTGACAGGGAGCAAAATACCTTGGTGTGGCAGCCAGCCTGGAGGTATGGGCCAGTGCAGGTGTGTTTAGCTCCTCCCTTCACACTAAAGTCAAGCTTTCCCCTACAGCTAAATAGCTGTCTTTCATATTTAAGGCATCTTGAAATCCCTGTGGCATGCTTTATGGAACAAAATATAATAAAATATAGGTATTTGTTGCAGTACTTCTAGATTAAAAAATTATGAACAAGTTTGTCATCAATTGTAATCACAACTGATTACAGCCTACAGAATTAACTACTAGTTTGCAGGTTAGTGAATGCTTGTTTTCTCTAACAGTCAGAAGAAATTCCAATCATGCTGATAGAGCATTAGGATTCTAGAAAACTGGAACAAATTGCTTAATCATAATGACCTGAGTTTTGGAGAATGCAGACTTCTAACAGAGGTTCAAGCTTTGTAGGAGACTCTGATCCTGTATCTTTGCAGCCTGAAACCTCCGAACCCCAAATGTACGCCCAGGCAAATTTGTAGATAGAAAGGATCTACTTTATTCCCCGCCATAGGTAAACCAGCAGGTAGTCTGGTTCACACATCAGGGGAATAGCCCTGACACTGCACAGCTACCAGTCACCTACATTGCTGCAGTACCTTTTCCAGAGGCTGTCAGCTAAATGTGGCCACGCAGTCGTTAACTGGGACCTCTAATGAGGAAATAACAACCATAAACCCAGTGCAACAGAATGGACCTTGTCATGTTTGGATATGTCTCACACCTGCAAATTGGATTGGAAGCTTTTTTCTAAACAACTGTCAAAATTATTTTGGGACTGTTTTCCAAAGGGTAGCCAAATTTGAGGTGCTTCTGCAATATTTGGTCAAAAGCAAAGGGCAAGATGATGTGAAAGTCAGAACCAACACTTTCCTTGTGCAACCAGCTACATGAGAAATACGAAGTATTATTAAAATTCTGTGCATGTGGGAGCTCTGTAGGAAAACCACTTGGTCATAGCAACCGATTTCAGCAAGACACTGAATAATCTTTGAGTCACCTAATTTAACTCTGTAGATTACAGCATGGACAAAGGAATTAATGCAAGAAAGTCAATAGGGAAGATGGTTTAGTAGCTATATATTCCCAAACGGTGCTACTCTTGACAGGCTTTGCTCTTCACTGCTCTTTAAGTGGGTAACAGATGCCCTACCAAAATCAAACACGTGCTGAAATCAGTGAGAGAAATCTCAAGATGAGATTCATCAGAAAATTGTGTCTACAGGCCAGAGATCTCCACCTGTACTAGTCACCTAAGACTATCGCTGTGGTCTGTGGGGAGAAATGGAGACTTCTTCAGAGCTGTTCATCTTATCCAAAGGGACACATATACATTTGGCCAAATGAATTGTAACCCAAAATAGATATTTTCTCTCCATTGAGAAGAGTATCTAGGCAAGACACTTAATATCTGCAGTACAGACAACCAAATTGAATCTTAACCCCTCTCTCCAACCCCAAATGTCTCCAATGGTTGTTGAGAGGCCCTGCATATCTACAAAATAAATTTTAGTTTGGAAGACTGTGACCCTGTGTTTTTCAAAAGAGAGATAGCTGTAAGAAAAATTACAATAGCAATAAAGAATTTGCATTTGGAAACACTTTAAATTCTTGGGCGCCATCCATAAATACAGAGTCTGTCATTTGGAAAACACAGACTCCTTGTTAAATAGTCAACAAGATTTTAATAGCTTCTCACAGAAAAGGTAAGTATTCGGAAAAGGATGTTTTGAGGCTCTGATAGTACAATGTTTCTCCATTTAATTTAACAGAAAATGATTACCGTGAAGACAATGGAAGCACGTGGGTTATTGTACTTGCGGTTGTGCTCTCACTTGTTGGTATTATTCTTCTGATTATTATTATTGTGGTTGTCGTACGCTGCTGTTGTCTAAAGAAAAAAGGTAAGTGGACCTTCACAACTGGTCTATACGTTAAAAAGTATCCTCAATTAGATATAAATGTCCTAATTGTGTCAGCTCTGGTACTGTGCAAAGACCTGTAGGCTGAAGTGTAAGCAGACAGATCCTGCTCTTAACTGTGGCCTGGTTAAGATGCTCCTTACTTTCCCCTTGCTGTTTCTCTTATAAAGTGGTTCCAAAGTGATCAGTGTCAGCCATTCACATTTGCTACAAGGGGGTCATGTTTTTCAGAAGTACATTAACTTTCAGTGATATTTAGTTCCTATGCTGAGGTTCTTTGTTCAAGCATACCTTCAGCGCTGTGTGCTTAATTTCCAGTTTCTGTGTAAGCTGTTCTACAGGGTTGTTGCACAGTTTTGTAAACAGGGAGGAGAGCTGCCCCTGTGGTTGCTGGAACACAGTGCACTCTCTAAGAGGAGCTCTCTAGTAGGTCACATTTTATCTTCCTGCATTTTAAACACTTTTTTATTTTTTTCTTTTCTTTCCCCAAGGGTCTACATATCAAAATGAAATAAGGTAAGCTGGGTGAGGTGGGAGAATTTTTCCTTGTAACTGAACTCTCTCAGGCTGCTGCAGGATGGTGAGAGGGATGTACCACTTTCCATGCCCCACCGCCAGCAGTTCCAGGATGCGTGGGTGCTGCCTTACTGTGTGACCTTGCCTGTTTCTGTATGCACAGCAGGGGAAGGGGGGCCAGTATGCAGTGAAGAGGACTAATCTTAGGGGTGACAAGCCAGGGCCACAGCTCACAGCAGGTTGAGAACTCTGTTCCCACAATAAACTCGGTGAAAAGAATCAAAATATCAAAATCCTGGCCTGTATCAGGAATAGTGTGGTGAGCAGGACTAGGGAAGTGATTGTCCCCCTGTACTCAGCACTGGTGAGGCCGCATCTCGAATACTATGTTCAATTTTGGGACCCTCACCACAAGAAAGACATCGAGATTCTGGACCGAGTCCACAGAAGGGCAACGAAGCTGGTGAGGGGTCTAGAGCACAAATCCTAAGAAGAGAGGCTGAGGGAACTGGGGTTGTTCAGCCTGGAGAAAAGGAGGCTGAGGGGAGACCTTATCGCTCCCTACAACCACCTGAAAGGAGGTTGTAGCGAGGTGGAGGTCAGTATCTTCTCCCAAGTAACAAGCAATAGGACAAGAGGAAACGGCCTCAAGTTACACCAGGGTGGTTTATATTGGATATTGGGAAAGATTTCTTCACTGAAAGGGTTGTCAAACATTGGATCAGGCTGCCTGGGGAAGTGGTTGAGTTGCCATCCCTGGGGGTATTTAAAAGACGGGTAGATGTGGTGCTGAGGGACATGGTTTAGTGGCAACTTGGCGGTACTAGGTTAATGGTTGGACTCAATGATCTTAAAGGTGTCTTCCAACCAATATGATTCTATGATTCTACGATATTATGAAAATCCTGCAAACACTACCTCTCTAATTTAGCAAGCGCAGAAATTACAAACTTAAAATACACCCCTACTGAAGCGGATGGGCAAAGCAATCACTTAAAAAACTGGCTGTACCCCCAGGTGCCCCGGGGAAGGCGGGGAAGGAGCCCTGCCTGCACCAGGCTGGCTACCTGCAGCGTGCCCGGCGATTGCCCGCGCAGCCACAGGGGGTCACTGCGAGCCCAGCAGCGCTGATGGGGCTGCCTGCCGAGGCGAGGGGGGGGCGGTGGGATCCCCCGACATTCCGGCCAGAAATCTCACCGCAAGCTAATTGGGATAGACTAGCGAGCAAATTAGACCGTCTCCCTCACTCTTTTAAGGTTCGTTAGCATTAGACCGATAAAAAAATAAATATATAAATAAAGCCGCCCCGATGATGAGTGTCAACACTTAATCTAAGTGATTATCAGACACACTTGAGTACAAAGCTGTCGGTCGGTACGTTATTGCATTGAGTTGGAAAACGTTAAAAATCATGAGCTGATGGTTATCAGCATTAAGATCCTATTTAACGGCGCCAGTGCAGCTGTGACAGCAACATCAGTGGGGTTATTTGGATTTATTTTTCCTAAGCTTCTAGGGAGTATCGTAAATTCATATTCTGCCTACGCTTGTGGGGCTTTTAATTCCCTATGTCTGTAACAAAACGTTGCACCACCTTGCCTCGCACTTCACTAATACCTAGCTTCATTAACGGCCTCTTGTGGGGTAATTGTGTGAAGGTCTATTGACAGATTTCCATTTATACAGCACTTTATTGATACAAAACAAAATAAGGAAATTAGGTAAACACTATTTTCTCCTGAGAAAATGGTGCTAATTATGCCATGCCATAGCAGTAAACTTCCACGTGATTTCTGAGTTTGTAATGCTAAATTGATCATTTTACCACCTGCAACTATATAAATAGGGCAGGGCTAAATGAGCAGGGAATGGGAGGTACAAATTGCATATTGGTTTTGCTATGAGAAAAGTGCTACTAAGCCTTTTTGCTTGGATTCTGACTTGGTTCTGCCAAAAGTCCTCTTCAAGGGGCAACCCTGCTAAGGCAAAATCAATTGGACATGCAGGGAAACATCTGCCCAGCAGTGGGGACTGGTATGACCGGGTCCGTGTCCTTACCAGGACGTTGCCTTGCTGATGTGAATCTGCACACTGCTTTCTTTCAGACAACCTGAACAGGTCCAGAATAGGGCATAATATTATACTTTCCCCCTATGTCTTTGAATCTAGTCTAGGAAAACACAGTTATATCTTCATGACAGAATGTGTGGGTTTAGATCTCAGTACAGTAAAGTTCCTATTTTCCCATTAACTTCAAACATGAGTTGTTGTACTGACTTCATAAACGTTGCTTACACTTTGAAAGTTAAGCAAACACTTAATCAAATACTTAAGCACTGGGATAGGTCCAGGCTCTATGGCTCAGCTTGGACTTAGAAACTCAGTGTTGACAGTTCTGCAAAGTTTTAGCTCGTGTAAGTCATGACACTGAAATCACAACCATTGTTTACAAACACAGAATTTGTAGGTTTGGTGTTATTTTGTCCTGGGGGGAACCTACTGCAGAAAGAAGAATGATTGTTCAGATTTTGGAAGTTGTGTTGTAGTAGTAGCAAAGAATTGGTGAGACCAAAGATATATTGTTTTACTTTCACATTTATTTTTCACTTGGCTGGTTACCTTTCTGTACCTCCCACACTTTTTTGTAGCTGCTTTCAATTTGGCTACTACACTGAGTTTGTTGAGATCTAAGGATCAGATAAAATAGATAGAACAGTATCACGTAACGTGTGGAGGTGGTATTACTAAACAATTGCTCTTGTCTTCTAGCAGCCATGACAGGTTTCTTAGGGGTATCTAACATGTTTATCTCCTAAAAAAGCCATGTAGTCATAGTTGGCTCGTCAGATTTATGTGTGCATCAGTAATGCTCATCTGAAGCTCTGTGGACGTGCAAAGAAATTTCCACTAAACACAAAAAAGTAAATGCAGCGGTTTTTACAAGTATTGCTAACTGAGAATATTTCCTCCTTCCCCTACAAGTCCCTGGGTTGTCGTAGTCCTGCCATCAATTTGTGCTTACCACACCAGAAATCTAGGCAAAGATGGACCTGGGACTGTCCTGGAGAGGAGTCCATGGTAGGAACAGATGAATAGTAGCATCTCTTCTAGCATAAGAGTTTTGAGTAAAAAGGTACTCTTTTCTAGCTGTGCAGCTATGCAGGTCACTGTTCTGCAAATTCAGAAATGTGTAACTTTAACCAAGGAAGTTCTGTCAACTTCATTGTGGCTATGCTCACTTGTAAAGTAAATTTCAAAGTGAAAGATTAACTTTGGAACGTGCAGATGAATCACTTGGGAGCTAACTGTGGTTATGTGAGATAATATGTGCCCTTCCGGTACCTAAAGATGGGGAGGGACTCTTTGTCAGGGAGTGTAGTGATAGGATGAAGGGTAATGGTTTTAAACTGAAAGAGGGTAGATTTAGAATAGATATTAAGAATAAATTCTTTACTCTGAGGGTGGTGAGACACTGGAACAGGTTGCCCAGAGAAATTGTGGATGCCCCATCCCTGGAAGTGTTCAAGACCAGGCTGGATGGGGCTTTGAGCAACCTGGTCTAGTGGAAGGTGTCCGTGGCCATGGCAGGCGAGGTTGGAACTAGGTGATCTTTAAGGTCCCTTCCAACTCTCACCATTCTAGGATTCTAGGATTCTATGAACATGTTTTGGTTTTGCAGTTTGGTGGGGACTCAGGTCACAAAAATTATGGGCTGTCATAAGTGACCTACATGGTGTTCCATTGTTGGGCCACTGAATATCCTGTAATTCAGAATTATTATTATTCAGATCAAACTTAATTTCCCACCAAATCTATGATTTGGAACAGAGTCTTCTCCCTTTGAAGATTGCTCACTTTATTTTGTGGCTTTCTGATAATGCAGCTGATGGAAACTTTCTAAACAGAATTTCAGAGGTAATACTTATATGGGACAAGATTTGTGCTAGCTAATTACTTGGAAGGCCCAGATATGTTTTGCACCTATTTTTTTCTGAAGACATATAATTTCTTCTCTGTAACCTCCTACCCAGGAGTTCTCATATCATAATGAAGTTCTAATGACAGATCTTTTTGTTTCTAGAAAAGTTTCAGCTGAGAAGAAAAAAGATGGCGACTTGGAAAACAGGCAAAAGCATGGCAGTGAAAATCAGGGATACCTTCCAGAGGAACGGCGGAATGTAGAACGTATCTCAAGTGAGCCTAAGCCAGTAAATTACATATTATCAAAATGCTTCTCAACATAGGCATTTTGGACAACATGTCGAGCAATTACATTACAAGATTTCACAATACTTTGCGAAGGACTTATGCTTGGCCTGAACATCTCTAGAACATTTTGGATTTTCTAGAGCATGGTCCTTCAAAGGTATTGAGAAAATACCAAAGTTCTTTGCAGGTGAATTTAGTTTTAGTCCTAGGTTATTTGTTTGGGGTTTTTTGTTTTTTTTTTTGTTGGTTTTTTTTTGTTTGCTGTGTTTTTTTTGTTAGTATCTTTTTTTTTTTTTTTTAATGCCTTTATTCTTCCACATATCTTCTGGGGCCAAAGGTGGGAGTACTGGATTCCCATATGATAGTCAATTTAGGCAATACTTTGCAGTTGGTCTCAAAAAACAAAAAAATTCACCACCACCAACAAAAAGAACAAAAAAAAGAAAGAAAGAAAAAAAGGCAGTTAGTGAACTATGATTTTACTGATAAATGACTAAGGCATTATAAATTCTAGTCCTCAAGCACAAATAGTCTTCAAAAGCAAATGTAAATCTCCACCAAATCGTTACCCACCACTTGCATTTATAACCACATTATTATCAAAACGTTTAATCAAACACTTAATGACATAAAATTATTGTGCAGTCTATAATCTAGGCATACATCGTTTTCTTTCTAGCAAATAAATTGTGAAGAAATAAGTGCAGTGGAAAGATTTCAAGAGCATGTGGTATTGTAAAATGTAGCAGTTATAAAAAATAAAAGGAAAACTAAGTAAACCTGGACAACCCAATT